CATATTTCAATTGACCAATGAGTTACCTAACAAAGTTAAATGAATTTTTTTAAATGACTTTTACTGCATTGGTTATTTTTTTTACTGCAATGAAAATAAGACATGTGCATTGTCATCATTTCAGAGTAATGGACATTATAATGGATGTCAGGAACTTTTTGCATTGTTGTTGCAATTTAGTCCAGTTTTACTATACAAATTCTATGTTTAACTATTTCGAAGTGGGTATAAAAGTACTACTTTCAAATTGTATAGGAACTCCTTTTTTGCTGACAAACTGCAAAATGCCCTTTGTTGATTACTTTATCTATATACATATTTTCATCAACTTCCTTTATAAAGTATCTATGTACAATTGTAATGGAGTATATGTGATGGTGACGTTTTTATGCATTTCACTACTTCGATTTTTCGCATTTTGCTTCGAATCATACAAATTTATTTAAACTCTCCTCTCCTAATGTCTGCATATGGCTCTAAACGTTTGTTTGTAATTGCAAGAAATTTATCTACGGTTGAACTATTTCTATTTAGTTTGTTTACTATAGAAAAATCCTCTAATCAAAATATTTTAGTTTAACATTTCAAAGTAAGAATTTGTTGTATACAACGGATCAGTACATGAGAAAATGAAGGAAATTGATTTCATTTATTTTCTGGATGCTTTGATGGTTGAAAATTAAAATTTGTATAATATATAGATATATAATAATATTAAATTAAGTTTAATATAGAAATCAAAAGATAAGTTTTGTATGTAAATAACTAAAATTGCGACGTTCTATATCGCATTTAATTAAAATCTTTTAAATTGATCAAAAAAAAAGATAAGAACTTAACTTTGACTTTATTGAAAATTAAATACCCTACACACCAATTTATTTTGAAGTTTTTACAGATACATAACTAGACTTACTTTTAAATCACCTAGTCCAAATTGTTTAATAAATATAATGTGATTTTATATTTGGTAGTTATTATTTAATTTAATAAGAAAGAGTAAGAAAGAGTAAGAGTATGTTTTTAAAGACTATATTCGGACTATAGACTATATATAATAGCTTGACACTTTACAGAATGAGAAGGTCTATCGTGTTCTCTATTCTCGCTAGGCTGATGTTATGTTGAGTGTCACGGGCATGTCAAAATCAAAATTGTTCTTGCTTTCAATGCAAACCACAAAAAATGAAAGAGGGAGTGAAAGAGAAGGATACAATACCAAGATATATTCAAAAGTCATTCGTCCAGTCCTTTATCGCGTTCTCATTGACGCGATTCGCTAGGGACTATCTGAATTTGTCTGTTTGTGTGCCCAAACTCGAAAGACTTGCCCGTGTCACTTCAGGTAACGTGGGCCTTAGAAATATTCACTAAATCCTCTTTCAAATAGAATTTCCATGTAGTTTTAATTAAGATAATTAATCTCATTTACACCCAATTTATGTGTGAATTTTTATCATAGATTGTAACAATAACATATATTTGACTGGATTTTATTATTACTTAATGCTTAGGATTCCTTTCTATATTGTAATTAAAATAAAATTTTACTACCGAATCTCAAAATTGAAAGTCTATGTTACCTCATTCGTTGTGTACCTAATATAGCATGATATTTAGTGTACCCTTCTTTGGAGGGTATTAAAGTAATACATTAACAAATTTAAAGAAAGTAATAGAACGAAGCTAAAATCATAAATTGTGTTTTATTATTATTTGAACATTGAATTGGTAGAAAAATATGTTTTCTAAATTAAGCATTTAACAATTTTATTCCATTGAAAACATTTTATACATATTTTTCTCATAAGTCAATTAAAATTGTAAAATAAATTGTAAATTTCATTCACAATATAGAAAATATGTATATAAATTCATTGTCTCATTCATTACTAATATGTGTTTGTATGTTTATGTAAGTTTTAAAATTCAGTCATTGTTAAATATATTATAGAAGGGTTTATGTATTATTTTATACTGCATTTCCTCTCAACAATTCGGAATGATGGAATGATTATTGCTCAAGCACACACGTAGAATAATAAAAATTTCAACAATATACATATTTGTTCAAAAAATATTTCCACATCTTCAATGAGGTGTGACATTGTCTACAAAACTCCATGAGCACATAAACAAAGTGTCACAGATGTAAACAAATATGCACTCCTATCAACACAGCAAAACGAAAACAATATTTTTTAGAATTATAGATACAACACAAATGCTTACTCGTATATGTGGAAAGACAATGACTATTGCAACATCCTGCATTATGGAGTAAGGTAAGCAAGCTAACTTTGTGTTTCAATGTAGCGCTCATATTCTGCTGACTTATTTGGTAATGTTTACACTGAGTGAGGTAGTATGGAATTATAAGTTGTGCTCGCATTGTATCTCTTGACACTTCTGACACACATTTTTCTTACCTCAACAGCCTCCAGCGCACTAGCAACTATCAACTAACAACCAACAACAATCAACCAGCAACAATGTAAACAATACAAACAATTCTACGGAAGCCAGAAAGCGCATTTTCCGCACTCGAAATATAAAAGATATTTATATTTGTTGAGATAAAAAATTGTTCATCTTCGCTTTTGTTCAAATAAAATAAAAACAAAAGTATTTCTAATGTAACTGTCTTGCGTCATAAAAAGATAATAAAGTTAATACGATTAAACACTCAGCAAAATGCAATTTAAAAAATAAATTTGATATTTTATAACATTGTTAAAATTCTTCTGTTTATATACCATAAATACCATAAACTTGGCTTATGGATATTTGATACTTGGAAGTTAATGTCTTTGATCAAGACGGAGCAATAATTATCAATTTTAAAAAGCATTTAAGTGTTATATTACTATATAGAATATGTAAAGAAATATATTTAAAAAAACTATAAACTGAATAATGAAACGAAAACTAGTCAAATTCAATGTAGTTTGATTAAAAATACTATAATTATGATAACCAATCATACTTCTTTAAAATACTTCTTTATGACGTGCGCACTTTATTAATTATGATCTTGCTTCAACTCCGATATTTATATGAAAAGCAAATATCTATATTACAATATCATCATATAATTTAGTCTTACTAATGGATTTTAAGCTTCCAAAGAAATTTTATGATTTGGTTGACAATAAAACCGAGATATCTCAAAATGATCATGAATATATAAAATACTACATATCATAAACCTTTAAATAACTTTTTGCATTGGCCATGAAATCTAGAAGCACTCTAAATAGATAAATTGAATCTATAATGATTTTATTTACTAAACTAACTAAATCACACATTGGAAATGTCACATTGTTTACAAATTGCTTTGAATTGAGCTTATATTAAGTCAGAAGTAGAACCCTTTACTATAGCCAAGCATGCAGCGAGTGCTCAACGTGCCTCAAATATGAGTAAAAAAAGGAAAAGCCTCAGTATCATTTAAATATATGTAAACTGCTGTTAAACTGAAGGATCAAATGTGTGGATCTCTAAACAAGAAGCGTTTGCATTTATCTATTTCCCATATAAATCTATGTAATCTGCCACTAAATTGAAGTCCTATATAAGAACCGTTTCTATTTATCAAAAAATGTTTACAAATTCACATATAACATATATTGTAAATAAAAATGAATTGGATTGTTTCTGAGTTTCAAATACGTGGTTAGACAAATTATTGGAAAAAAATTAATATATTCCAATAATTGTGAGACAATGACAAATGGATGTACTACGATAATCCTAAAGGCAAAAATACATGGGGTCATCCAGGCAAACAATCCATATCAACACGAAACTAAAACATTCATTCATATGAATGTTCATTCATTCATTCATAAAACATTCAAAAAGAAATGTTGAACGATGAACAGTTAAAACCGAACGGAACTATTACTGCTGAAAGTTGCTAACAACAATTGATAAATCTGAACCATGTATTGAGCGAAAAACTTCAAATTCTAGCAATCAAACATCGTAATGTGATTTTGTAACACGGTAATGTCGAGCATTGTCGACAATTATAAAGAAAGTAAAAAATACGTCAGAAGAACTTAAATAGTAAATTCTGCTGCATGGTTCCTATTTACCAGATAGTGCTTTAACAGATTACTAATTGTTCCGAATAATATAAGGCGCTCTTTAAGATTAGCACTTCAGAAAATGGATCGATGAATGAATCGTATCAAATGGCAAACAATTTTTTTTCCATAGAAAACATAAATTGTCAGAAATATGGTCGATATTTTGATTCAAAAAAATTTATAATTTTTTTTCTTTAAATCCAATAAATTTTCTTATACACCCAATACTACCGTTAAGCAAATTAACTATATAGTAATGGCAAAAAGATTATCGACATGAATTGATGTAAATGCAGGTTATACAAAGATGGAGTTTGTTAAAAACACCGCTGGTAGACAATACTAGAAATGTATAAGGTTAAGTTATTAATGTCACTCATTTATGTATAAGCACCTTATACATCATGGTCTAGTTGGAGATTGGGATTTAATGGAAAAATTTTCTGAGCAGTGTTTATTTAAATACATACGATCAGAACTATAGGATTATTATTTTCTACCAACTGAAGCTATATTGGCATTACAGTAAATCAAGAATTTTTTAATAATTGAGATGGTTTGGTACATATACGTGCTATATTTATGTAAAGACTGGGGTTAGAGAGTTTAAATGTTCTTGGTCTATATAAATATAGTATTTTTTGATTATATTGAAATTATAATAGCCAATACTGATGGTATAATATACATAATACATGTGACTTAATGATATTAGATACATTTGAATTTTATTATAAGAAGTATGTCGAAGTTGAAAATAAATAAATTTAGTCACAGAGTTCACTATTATAAATTTCAACGATCATAAATTGTTGTATAAAAATATATTTCGCATAATTTATCTCAAGCTCAATAAATAACAATTAGACAATATAATATATGTTTCTAGGTTATTTTACTTACGCCTCGCAGTATGGTAATTTGTTGAAACCCTTGTAAGTTTTCATATTCAACGCCATCCCGCACTCTGTGCACTTAAAACATGTTTTATGCCATGTCTGAAAAGATAGAAAAAATAAAAATAAATAATTAAATTATACTAATTGCAACAAATACTATTGTTTAAATTTATATTGATATAATATTGATTTTATTGAATTAATTACAGCATATTTACACGTTGAACCAATAAATAATTATAAATTAAGTTGGCTCATTGTGTGGCATGTCACGTGTTCCTTCGTGTCACCTGCTCAAAACTTTCTGATTATCTCTTTAGAATCAAAATTGTGTGAATCCCATCTATTTAGTATACCGACAGCTGTCACTTGTTAAGATAAAATACAGAGTATTTTTATTGCGATTTATATTCTTATTTAGAACGCTATAATCTATTCTTTATGAACGTGAGAAGTTCTGAATAACACATAACTTAAATGGAAAGAATTGTTATTTCGATAATAGAAATGACTTTTTAAAAAAAAAATCATATAAGATCATTGTGCTCATGTCACGTTTACATTTTATGTGTTTAGATAGTGATCACTATTAGTTAATAATGAATTTAATGTAAATTGCTCAAGATAACTTTAATCAAAGTAAAAATTTTATTTTTATTACTTTTAGATATTTTTTATATATAAATTTTATTATTATTTTTATTGATAAAAAGCGTTTATTGATATTAATTTCAAACAAAACAACATATTTTTATTATTAATAAAATATAAAGTATTAAATATCACATGACTTTTTTATGGTAATATAAACGTTTTCTGACATAAAGAAGCTTAACAAATTTAATCTTAAAAGCAGTTTAAATTTTTAATGGTAAAATAAAGCCACAAATTTCAAAACTTAAAAGCCAAAGGGATTATTAAATATAACAACCAAACTAGGACCAAACAAAATAATGATATGTGTGTGTTTTTATAATTTACTTACATACCACTCATTCTAGCAGTCCCATTTCTCGGAGGAGTTTGTAGAACTTTGTTTTTGAGTAATCATTATATCGTGACTTGGTTAATTTCAAGTCAACTGTGGATATAAAATACCTAATAATAAATATTATACATATTTATGTAACGGCAGAGCTTTATATAAAATAATTACTCTATTCAGAATGTCGAGATCAGTTATCTCATTTTGAAAACGAATAAACAGCAGGAACTGTTCTATAAAATATTTCAACAATCAATCAAGTCATGATAATTTAGGGTGTTATATATGTTCAAAAATATACATATAATATAATATAATATATTTTATCAGAGGTCCACCGTATAGGAATACTGAACAAGATAAAAAAGCAGAGAGTTTACTTGCCTGGAAGTTTTGTATGTAACTCTATGGAAACCGTTCTCTGCCTCCTTACAGATGATTAAGAAAAGTACTTACTTCTTTTTTTGTTCAGTGGATAATAAGTAGCAAACGCTTATGTTACTGTCATTGCTCGATTGACCTTGCTTTCAGATAACAAGACTAGATCCTGGATATGAAATAATAGAGCCCAAGTGAATAATACAATAATACTGCAGTATCTCTGGTTATTGGTGGTTAGAAACTCACAAATGCACAACCTTTTTTTGTTTAGATTGTAGGAATTGTGAAAATTGACAGTATAAAGAAACAATCATTTCCAATATAGCTGCCCAGCCTTGACTATCAGAAAGTCAAGTACTTCTTTGATAATTTGTCGAATGACAGTTCTGTTAAATAATCTAAATTGAAATGGATACATTTAGTTTTTATCTTTTAAAGTTTAAAATAGTAAATTTATGTTTGGTATTGCTGGTTTGATTTTAATATGTAGTGATAGATACAGGTTATATATCACTAAGAAAATTCTGTTATAAATAGTTATAAAAATAATCAGGTTATTATTATTTTTGGTTTAAAATAAACCTATATAGTTTATCTTGATGTCTTTAAATAGCAAGCTGTATCATTAAACTATAAGGACTTAAAATCACTTCATGGACTCAATTGATATTTTCTAAAGTAATCAATAAATTAGGGGATCTAGAGCAATGCCAAATGGTCGCGATTATGTTCCACAAACTACTGTCGGAGAAATACTTCATTTTAAAGGAGTAGAGTTCTCATAACACTTTTTTAATGATTGTTGAGTTTCTACAGTATTTTTCTTGATCTTGACAAAATTGTTTTTCTCTCATTATTTGGTAAGTACTAAAAATAGTATTACTCAAACAGCTGCAATTTAATGACTGCTGATTGAAATGTCATAAAATTTTAACATGTGTCGTGTTAAGGACACTCAAAAAAGTTTCGTAATGGTTATTTTTGGGATTTACTGAGTGAAATATTACCTAACTTTGATTTTTAGTAAATTTATAAAACAGCGGTCTTCATCTTTAGGAGTAATTTAAGCCTGATTAAAAATTGTAGTAATATTTGTTAAGTATATCCTAATTACTAGGGCAAGTTTTTAGTTTATAAATTAAATAAATATTACATTACATTAAATAAGAAATTCTTTATTTCTCTAATAGAATGGTCAACTGATAATTCTTTTAATTGAAAATAAAAATAATTTAAGTCAATTTTTGCAACACAAAATAGAAAATTTTTGTAGAATTACTCATATAAAAGGTTAATAACCGACTAAAACGAATTAATGCAAATATTAGATTTAATATGTTAAAGTATATTAATTCTACTCTTAATTATATCTGATTAGAAGAAACTTCATGTGTAAGTCAATAAGTTATCTGCGAATACCAATCACAGAGTAAAATTATATAATAAATAAAGAATTCCAGCTAAGTTGTTCTGCTCTGAAAGATTCTATTAACACATAACCGTACAAGCAACTTCAAATCTCTTTGAATCACGGTACATGCACCATAATGAATAAATTTGCAACTCAACGTGTTAGCACAGTTAACACTTAGATGAAAATTTATCTACAATTGTTAACTTAGGGCAATGTAGTGTATATAGCAAAAGTTTGCCTCCAAAATGATTTAATAGATATGTGTGTGCGCTCACATGTGCAGATATGAAGTTGTTATAATAACGCTTCCAGTGAATATTCATATATAAAAAGTTACTATTAGCATTAAAAAAAATACGTGATTCCTCAGATTGTAAATATACATTTTTATATACTTTTTTTTTAACAATATTTAGAAAAAAACAAAATATGATATAATGAAAAAACTAGAAAAATTTTATGGTGCGTTGCGTTTAGGCATGCGCACATTTTTCCGCAAAAGTGAACACGTTCGCAGCATAACAACGTCCACATATGGACATTAACATGTACGTCCACCAAATCCAGCCAACTTGATCTGCTCAAAAAACAGACGTATACAGTCAACACACTTCATCCACACATTATCAAAATAATAATTGCCTCATCAAAGCTATTACATATTATGAGTATATACACTCTTTTTACTTCTTCTACTTTTTATAATTTTTCTTATTTTTTTTTTTAGCCAAACTAGACCACGAAACTCAAAATATTAAATCAGTGATTTTCCCTAAGCGCTATTTAGCTTAACCAAAGGTTAATCTTTGATTAAGTTCGCACATTTTATTGTTGAGATTTGTGGTGTATGTTAACATGTTTTAATTGGATTTCCGGTCATATTTACTTGAGTGTGAGTAAGTACATTTATTTATATTACAACTAAAAACATATATGTTTAGTATATATTTAGGAAATATGCAATGTATGCCGCCGCCTTCATAGCTCACGCGATCTGTCACTATCGTTCCACTGTGATAAATGCGTTTTTGCTGTTATTTACAATAAATTGATGACTTCTCGAAATGTATGTTAATAGTGCTATCACACATATTCTGCGTGTGAGTGTATAGTGCTAACACAATGTCATCGTGAGATCATGTATGTGTGTTTCAGTGTGATGAACTTTTCGTTACATGCAATACATTTATATTTCATATCAATGTTACAATAATTTATCATTATTAATTTAGAATGTAGAGCAACAAAATTTAAAAAATTTAATTATTGTATACCGTTAATCCATATAATTGATGGCTTTAAGCTAAATATTAACAATGTTAGCAATATATATATGTATTTATAAATAAATTTAAATAGTAACTGATTAACATATTGTATATATGTTATAATGGTTATTTTTAAACTAATAATTTGTTTACAGTTAAAAATACTAGTAATTAATATGTTTAGGTAAATAGTGTCTTTAACATAAGAAATTCTATTGTTGAATTAAGAAGATGCATGCGGGGTAATATTAAAAATAATTCCCACTATTTTGCTCTAATAATTTAAGATATATTTAATGTTATACCAGGTGTATGCATAAGTTTTTTACGGTTTATGAATCTTTCCTCTTTGAGGCCCTATGCTCCAGAAGGAGAAAGACAGTAGTAAAGTAGAACTAAAATCTTTCCGCTTGCTCGTAAACATCTGTTGAAAGCACCTTGTGACACATTTAATGCTTTGTTAATTGATATTGAGTTGAAGTTGGGTCATCATCCAGTAACTCCAGCAGTTGCTCGTTTTCACAGTTTTGTGGTCTATCAAAGCGCTCACTATCTTTCATACAGAAATCATTAATTTAAATTGTTAAGCCCTTTCTCACATTTTCTAATCGATGGAGTAGGAGTATGAGTCAAATGAATATGCTGCGCGTATATTTTGCAGACACCATCTTTTAGTTAAAACGAAAAATAGTTATGCATACACCTGATACATCTTTATTGATCCTTAATATTAGGTTATATAAAAAATATACTGTCTCTATATATATTAAATTTGACATTAGATGGTGTTATTAGCCATATATCTGGCAACACTTATCCGATTGCGTCAAATGAATATGTGTTCAAAAAGGTGTTATTTCAAGCAATAGTTTTTGCAAATGCAGTTGTGTAATTCGTCTGATATGTATAAAATTAATTATATTAATATAAAAAATGAGAATATATCTACAAAAAGACGCTATGTGATGCATTAAGATATTACTATAAAAAAGATGAAACTGTTGTAAAAAGTCTAAAAAGTTTGTGCGATTTATAGTGAGGATGCTGTGAG